CCTAGGGCCTCCACCATCTAAGGTTCTTTTTGTAGGGGAAAATAAAGGTAAAGGTCATGAAGTTCCAAAGACGTCCTCCCGTTTGCAATGCTTTAAATGTAAGGGTTTCGATCACATTTCCTCTAACTGTCTTAGTAGAGCCCTAGTTATGGAGGAACGTGAAGGTGTCGTGGATGATCCGTTGGAGGATCAAGTTTATGAGCCTAAGTTTGAAGAGTTTGAGGACTTGGATGACAATGAAGTCACCTTCTAAGGTTATATTCGGACCTTTCCCTTGGATCTAAGGTCAGGACCCCTAATTTCCGACACGTCTAGATTAATTGTTGTACGTAGTACTCTGACTCAACCTAAAAATTGCTGATGATTGGCGTCGTCATGCCATTTTCCACACCTACATCAAGATCAATAATAGGGATTGTAAAGTTATTGTGGATAGTGGTAGCGGCATTAATGCAGTTTCGATGGCTACTGTATCTCGTCTTGAGTTGAAACCAGTTCCTCACCCTCAGCCATATAGCATCTCTTGGGTTGATACTTCCTCGATAGTTGTAAAAGAACGTTGTCTAGTACCTATTCAATTTCTCGAGTATAAGAATCATATATGACGTGATGTCATTTTAATGGATGTCGGTCACGTCATTCTTGGGCAACCTTAGTTGTTCGATTTAGATGTAACTATTTATAGTCGTTCCAATTCATGTTCCTTTGTTTTTAATGGAAAGAAGATTCACCTTAACCCACCGCCCCCAAAACCTATTGGCTCGTATGGAGCAAAGAAAAGCAAGGAACGAAAATGGTTACATATTATTAACCTTACGAGGTCCGAACGCAAACTTGTGGGCGATTCTGTAGTGCTTGCCTTGGTGTCATGGAGGTTCCATTGAACTCCCCAATAGTAGCCCCTCCTAAAGCCCAGGCGATCATTCAAAAGTTTCAGGATGTCTTCCCTGAGAACCTACTTGACCAGCTACCCCCTTTACGGGACGAACATGCCATAGATTTGGTCCCGTGAGCGTCGCTTCCAAATTTGCCTCATTATAGGATGAAGCCTTTGAACTCCAGAGGCAAGGGGATAAGCTCCTTCACAAAGGCTTCATCCGTGAGAGTTTTAAGTCCTTGTGCAGTTCCTGTGCTATTGATGCCTAAGAATGATGACTCTTGGAGGATGTGTATGGATAGTCGTGCCATCAATAGGAAGTGAAATATCGCTTTCCCATTCCTAAGCTAGACGATATGTTAGATATGATGGTTGGTGCTACAATCTGTTCTAAAATCGATTTGAAGAGTAGGTATCACCAGATTAGGATCCGCTCCGATGACGAATGGGAAACTAAACAAAAGATGCTCTTTATGAGTGGTTGGTTATACCTTTTGGACTAACCTACGCTCAAAGTACTTTTATGCAAGCAATGACGACTCCGTCATTTCATAGGTAAGTTCCTTGTCGTCTGCTGTGATGACATTTTCGTGTATAGTCAAACTAAGGAACAACATCGGGATCATCTCTAGCAGATTTGTTTTGCCCTTCGTGCAACAAAATTGTATGCTAACGTCAAAAAATGTTCTTTCTTCACCGATAAAGTTGTTTTCTTAGGATTCATTGTATCTTCTACCGGGTATCTACTGACCCTGTCAAGATTCAGGCAATTGTTGATTGGCCCGAGCCTAAGATTATACATGATGTCAGAGTTTTCATGACCTAGATACCTTTTACCGTCGCTTCATCAAGGGGTTTAGCACAATCATAGCTCCTATTAAGAAGTGTACGAAGAAATGAGAGTTTCATTGGATACAAGAAGCAACTAAAGCTTTTAAGCTAGTCAAGAAGCGAATGACGGAGGCCCACGTCATGCACCTTCCTGACTTTGCAAAAGTTTTTGAGATCGAGTGTGATGCCTCTGGGGTGGGAATAGGTGGAGTCCTTTGTCAGGAACGTCACCCCGTCGCTTATTTCAATGAGAAGTTAACTGATGCCAAACAAAGGTACTCAACTTATGATAAGGAATTGTATGCAGTTGTACAGGCTTTGCGCTATTGGCGCCATTATTTGCTACCCTAAGAGTTTGTACTTTATTCGGACCATGAGACCCTCCGTTATCTCACCGCCCAGAAGATGTTGAATTCCAGCCATGGTCGCTGGATTGAATATTTGCAGGCCTATTATTTTATTTTGAAACATAAGAAGGGTGTTGAGAACAAGACGGCTAATGTATTAAGTCGTCGTATCTCCCTTTTGTCGGTTATAAGCGTCAAAGTTATAGGTTTTGAACGACTTAAGGAAGATTATGAGACATGTCCCAATTTTAAGAATATCTTTCTTGATTTACAAGGAGGACGGTCGGTTCCTACCGATGGCTTTCCCCTTGAGAAGGGTTACCTTTTTCGAGTCAATGAATTGTGCGTCCCTCGAACTACATGCGAGACTTCATAGTATGGAAAATTCATATGGGGGGCTTAGTCGGTCACTTTGGGTGTGATAAGACGATATAGGAGATTGAACGCCAATTATAGTGGCCTAGTTTGAAGAAATATGTAGCTAAAATAGTTAGTACATGTAACACCTGTCAGTTGGCCAAACAGAAGAGGTAAAACATTAGTCTATACAAACCTTTTCCCGTTCCTGATTGCCCTTCGCAAAATGTGAGTATGAATTTTATGATAGGACTTCCACGTACCTGAAGAAGCATGATTCTATTTTTGTGGTAGTCGATCGTTTCTCGAAAATGGCTCATTTTATCCCTTGTAGTAAAACCTCCTATGTATTCAAGGTTGCCATGTTATACTTTAATGAAATTGTCAAATTATATGAGCTTCCTAAAACCATTGTCAGATAAGGATGCTCGGTTCACTAGTCACTTTTGGAAAACGTTGTGGCATAAGGTTGGTACAAAATTGAAATTTTCTACTGTCTATTGATAGACACGCAGATTGATGGTTAAACAGAAGTGGTTAACCGTAGTCTTGGTAATTTATTAAGATGTCTGGTCCAAGAAAATCTTAGAAATTGAGATTTGATTCTTCCTACAGCTCAAATTGCATATAACAGTTCCATGAATCAATCGTTAGGCACGAGTCCATTTGAAGTTCTTAGTTTTAAGCCTAGGAAGCCTTTAGATCTCATTCCGATGTCCCCACATGCTAGAGTGTCTATGTTAGTTGAAGCATTTGCATTACATTTTCATGATTTGCATATTGAGATCAATAAACAACTTAAGGCTAGTAACGCAGCATATAAATTTCTAGCTTATTTGCATAAAAGACATGTTGATTTTAATATTGGAGATTATGTTATGATCCGAATTAGACCGGAGCGGTGCCTACATGGATCCGCCTCCAAATTGTCCTTTCAAAATTTTAAAGCAAGTTGGTCCAAATGCATATGTTCTTGATCTCCCACCACATCTTGGTTACGACCCTACTTTCAATGTTGAGGATTTAGTTGCTTATAAATGTCATTTCAATCCCTTCGATGATCATCTTCTACCTCCATCTGTGAACCTTGACCCTGCATCTGTTGCCACTTTTAATCCAATACCACATTTCCCAACACACAAAGATAAAATTGATGCTATTTTTAGATGAACAGATTGTGTTGACTAAAGATGGAGAGGTTCAACGCTTCCTTGTTCGTTGGGTTGATCGGCATGGGTCTGATTGTACATGGATTACCAGAGGGACACTATAGCAGCATGACCCAGATTTATTGGAGCTCTATCAGAGTCAACAAGATCTTCCGTTGCCCAGTTCTTCCACACATTTAGGGAATGTTGATGGGACACCGATTCAGACCACCACTAACATGCTTTTATGGACGTTGGAAGAAGCCCGTTCAACCCCTTAGTTTATGGTTGGGCGATTAATTTTAGCTTTTATGACTTATCCGCTCGACGGGGTTGAGTTTTTTCTCCTACACCGGGAGTGTTGATGCGGACATCGTCGAGATTTATTTTATTTTTATTGGGTTTTATTATTTATGTTTTTTATTATTGGGCTTGTAGTGGTGGGTTGGCATAAGCTCTTCACTAGTAGGTTAAGTTTTACTATTTATTGGATTTTTCATTGTAGTCGAATTAGTTAAATGATTGAATGAAATTAAAGTTGGCGGCTACAACGTTTTTCTACCCTTCCCTGTTTCTTCCCCTGCTTTCTTCTTCTTCTTCTTTTCTTTTGTTTTTCTTTTAAGTTCTTGGCTGGAATTCCAATTCATCGTACATCACTATTGCTACATCCTTGACCTACTATGATATTATTATTGCCATGACAACCATGTTTCAATAATGTCAATTCAGGCCTGTTGATGCATTAAGGGGAAGAAAGAGTTTTCATTTTCAGTACACCAATGCCACAAGCCATTCACAGCCACCGGTGTTACCACCGTTAATATTATTACTATATGCACATTCACTATCAACAGAACATCACTAAGAAAATTTACTTGCAATCAGCACCCCACTGACTTCATTGATAACAGAAACCTTCATCACGACCCTGATTTACCAATAGAACCAAACCACACCATGTGTCACAAATCCACGACAAGAATTCCATTTGGATATGGGCATTTAAGTTTGGTACAACAGGTATGGTAGGGTTACAATCGGGTAATGGGCAATTGAGCTAATGATGGTAGAATTTTATCCCAAAATTTATAACCCAAAGGTCTCTCGGCAGATTCCATTTTTGAAGAATAATCAACTAAACTTTCACCTAAAACCTATTGTAATCGCTTTCCCTTCAAGCAGTCATTGCATGACTCTGTAATTGGTCCAGAAAGAAAAATATTGCTTTAAAGGTTGGGAAGAGGCTGGTTTGGCAGCTGCAGTACTGGCAGTGGTAATGACCTGGTCCAGCTGTAGCGATCTTGGTGGGGAATGGTGTAACTAGTATTGACGTGGAAATTTATTGTAATTGGAGAAGAGTACATGAAGGTGAGGAGAGGATGTCTAAGGAATAAAGCGCCATGGACATTTAGTATTTTGACTCGTATAATGTGAAGATACCTAACTATTGATGGATGGAAATCTAAGAGAAGGGTCTCTATCTGGTGGCCAAGTGCCATTTTTCCATAGTGATTAACTGAATAAGGGGCTCTTTGAAAATTACCCATGTTAGGATCGATTAACTATATTTAAGTTTATCTTTTCCTTTTCAATAGTAAATGAAGTCACCCTTTTCACAACCAAGAAATTTCATCTATTAATGGGCATTTCATATAAACTTGGAGTAATATAAGTAATGTGTTATTTGATCCTGGTATGTACTTTCTGCTTCTTTGAGTAGGGGATTGCAGGATTAAGGTTGGAACATGTTTACATTGAAGGAAAATCGGCCACGTAACTCGTTTCTTTGTTTTTATGTTCAGTGCAACTGTTTAGCTCAGTAGCTTAAAGTGAATGTAGTATTGAATATCGAGGGAGTGGAACTATGTTGGATTTTGCCTTCCATTAGGATCTTCTATAAATACTAAGATTGTATCCAGTCATTTTGGTGAAAAATATATTCAGAACCCCAAGCTATTATTACTCTGGTGCTAAAACAGTCCTCTCTTTTTTTTTCATCATATCACCTATTCTTTTCCTTCCTTTCCAGCCGAGCAGGGAGATTGTTTTTGTAAAGTTCTTTTAGATGTATATTAAGATGCCTATTACAGAGGGTTATGTTTACATATGCCATTTTGTAGTTACTCTTTCTGCTGGCATATCTGAATGTAGTAACTGTACATTCATTACTCTTACTGACATACTAATCTTGTATATGTATTCTTTTTGCTCTGAACTCTTGATTCCATTTTATATGTACTTCCATTGCAGACCCTACGTACATGATTCGAGCTATTCCAAGTAATGCATCAGATAACATCTACTGCACACTTCTTGCTCAAAGTGCCGTGCATGGAGCCATGGCAGGATACACAGGCTTCACTGTAGGGCCTGTAAACAGCAGACATGCTTATATTCCAATCAATGTAAGCATTTTATGGTGCATGCAGTTTACTTCCTAATCCATCTCATTCTAGTTTGAATGGAACATAACACAGAGCATGATCCAGCACGTGTCCTGGCAGTAATTAATATTTACAAATTGATTTTAGGAATTTATCTTCAATCTGCGGGTTGCTTACTTGCTTAACATAACTGTCTTTTTTCTTTTCTCCTTCAGTAATTAATTAATGCACTATTGAGAAACAGAGTCATGATTTTCATCATATTTTTTCTGAGCACTGTTTGACAATGAATTGTCAGTTTGTTAGTCATAATGGAACTCTCACATTGCTCTGTTGCTTGGTTTGACACATTTTTCTATTCCCTTCACAAATAGTGTGCAGATGCCGAAACTGAATCTTTAAAGGCAATATATAGAATAGGTACACAGATATTATGGGTTGGAAGATTTGAATATTAGACCGTACATACTAACAGAGTGATGAGCCCCATTGGAGTGACTTCTCCCTGGTTACACGTTACAGTAACTAAAAGTTATCTGGAGAGGCTATAGATGAGCCCCGTTATTTTAAATGAATCTAGCATGTTTTTGCTCTTTATATAAACACGTAAGTATCCAAGATCTTTAATTGTGTGTGTTGCATTCACAGCGTGTCACAGAGACTCAAAACACGGTGAAGTTGACAGACAGGATGTGGGCTCGACTTCTGGCATCCACGAATCAACCTAGTTTCGTACAATACTGTGAATTAGTACGGGAAAGAGTTAATAAGCAAACCATTGACCAGATCAACAACAAGAGGATAACTTCCATCTAGAGTAATTGGACTTTGTCATTGGCATGTTCCATATATGAATATGTCTAGTGCTCAAATTTAGGCGTGTCTCTCGCCCTTTCACCAGGCATTGCCGAGTTCTGATGTGGTAAGTAGAGCATTTTCTTATACAGTGGCATGAGACAGACTTGTCTATAAGCAAGCATTAGCATTAACGTGTATGTATTGATTTTTGAGATATGTCTTACAAAAATAGGATATGTTATTTTCACCAGATGCATCAATTTATTTGAAGCTTTTAAGTTATATATTTTCCATTTGTCAAGGATTAGCATTATTTTGTATTATAATCACAGAATTACTTTTGTTGCTCTTAAGTATTCATGCATACTGCTCATCTATAAACTATTTCTTCGTACACAAGAACACCTACAAAATTAGGCAAACCTTTATTATGAATTGATGATGAAACTTCAACTTATTTGACCTCATACTTCCAAGGAATTTTACTTGATTAAGACCTTCTGACCAGGATAGTATCAAAAGGTAGTAGTTCTATGTTTACCTAACCAATTGAAGTTTTCTACTTCTCGAAGTCCTCGAGTCAAGTTGTTGTTGCCAATCTTGTAATTGGAGAACATTTCACTAGGAACTTGAGTATTCAATCCAACATGCCACTGCTATAGGTTAGCAAGACTAAGACTACAAATTCCAGTCTCACTTTTTGTATGTAATGGAATATATTCAGTACATATGTTGCATATCATTTGACATACGTAAGTTAGAAATAGGCCTGGTCTTGAACTTTCAATTTGTTCATTAGAATAAATAGGTCTGGTCCTGCCTAGGATTTCTTTTCCATTTCCACATATCAAGGATTTCATTCTTCACTTTACCAAGGCACATTCTTCACTAGATGTTTTCCCTAGAAATTTGACGGGAATGATGCCTGTAAAATGTGCGGCTGCATGTAGTTTGACTCGACCCTGTTATGTTCCAAGATGAAGGATCTTATGTCCGTGTCATTACTTAAACGTTAGTAATTGCAAATATCTGAGCCGGATAAGTAAATTTATTATGTTGTGTCTAAATTAAAAATGTATAACTGCGGGAGACTTAGCCTGTTCTATTTACTATTATCAAGTCATTTTCTGTTTTCGATTTTTCAAAACAGAGAAAACGCGTTCTCGTTCCTATTTTTGAAAACGTGTTTTTTGAAAACAAGTTAAAAATTTACAAAGAAAATTTAAAACGATAAATTTGTCCAAATTTGTTGTTTTTGGTGTTCTTAATTATAATCAAGTCAAAATTTTGAAAACGCGCTTTGGATGTTTTCAAAACAATTTTTCAAAATGTTAAAAAGAACACATTTTTAACAATCTCAAAATAGACACTTAAAACAAAATTCAAAACTCAAAATATAAAATTGAAACACAAAGAGAACAGCCCTTAAACTTTTCTCGTGTTGTTGCAGGTGTATTCATTGTTAGTGAAAGCAGGTCTAGCTGATCAGATTTAATTTGATAGAGATTTGGCGGTTCAGCTATTCATACTCTTGTTCAATAGAGTCTTTGCAACTATTTTTGGAGTTTGTTTTAAAGATTATGTTCAGATTTATACCCTTTTCCTTGCAGATGAACAATTAAAAAAAAGAACTAGTATTCGAAATAAGCTCCGTTTCCAAACAGATTTATCCACCACAGTGGTGAGAATGTAGCCTAACGTGTCACCAGATTGTTTTTCAGTGACGGATAAGACAGTCGAGTCATTTTCCCGCTCTTTCTGAAAGACGGGAATGTAAATTGAACTATGACCAATTTGTATTATTTATTCATGGTGAATGAATCGGTCGATAGGAATCCCAAAGATGGGAGTTGTACTTGATAAGGCTTTTGGGGTTTGTTAAAAACAGTTTCAGGCCAAATTTATGAAGCAAAAGAAATCTTCTTCTAATTTTTTATTTTTTCCTTGAAATTCTTTATCGTAGCCCAATTTTGGCCCCAAAAGAGTCCACCCAAGATACGAGCTGATAATTCCTGTGACGGGTGGGGAGAGGTAGTGTGTGTTAAAATTGTGGGTACCTTGATTTTTCCATTTTTAAAGATTAATTATTAATGTTATTCAGGCCTCGTTTGTCTCCCATTATTCCAAAACATTATTTGCTACAGTAAGATTCTCCACCACACATTTACTCAATAAAATATTCTACACACAAATCAATAAAGTTATTTTAAATTTCAACCACACATTCTTCAAAAAATACTATTCATTACTGCATTTCTTCTACAATAATGGGAGACAAACACACACTCAGTACCACGTGTGTGTGAAGCAATAGTCTTGATGGTGATTATATGATATTGAATGATGAATTCACTTAAATAAAAAGTTACATAATTCATTTAATTAAACATATCAAGTGTCGTCTAAATTGATGTTACATAACAATATTTATTTTAAAATATTTGTTTGTGAGAGATTATTTGAAGTGAAAAAATAATTTTTTGGAGAATGTGCAAAAGTAAGAAAAAATTATTTTATTGAAAAATTTGTGGATGATAATGAGTTTGAGAAAAATGATTTTCACTGTGCCAAACAAATGCTTAACTTATTTTGCATTGTGATACTTGCTGATCCAGTTTATAACAAATCTTTGAGTTTTTGGATGGTAAAACTATGATAATTAAGATAAATTTTTCGAACTCTTTTTGACAATTAGGCCCTGTTTGTTTTTTTCAAAACAAAACTATTTAATTTTCACTCATTTTCAACTAAATATTCATGCAATAAAATATTTTACACGTAAACTTAAAATTTTTTCTACTTTTTAATCACACATTCTCCAAACAAATACTATTCAAAATATAATTCTTTCTAAAGAATGACCATAAAACGGGGGCTAAATAATAAGAAGATAATTTTAAATCTTGATTGCAAGTTTGGTTGAAAGCAGCAATCGAGATGCCATATGTATGTTAGGGTCACAATGCCATTAAATGAGCAATATTTTGAGGTATAACCATGCTACATGTACAGAAATGGATGACAATGTGGATGATCGAACACTCACAATAGGGGAGGCCCACAACTGAAATTTTCCCTTTTTTTTTTGGTGTTATTTTTTAATCATGTGAGCCTGCATACATGTGAGAGGTTGTCAATTTCCATTATCATCCATTTATGTACAAATGGAATTGCCCTTTGAGGTAACGTAGTCTGAAAATAATTTATATTTTTATCCAACTTATTCAACAACAAAACTTAAAACAGATAGAATAACCTACTTATTTTAACAATGATATATGAATTATTTTTAAAATAATTAATTTATTAAAGAATATATTTTGGAATAGTAAATTGATAAATAAGTGCGGTTAAAAAATAAGAATTTTTTTTTTTAGATTTGTATGTAATATTATTTTATTGAAAAATGTGTGACTGAAAAGAAGAAAGAAAAAATGTAATTTGAAAATAATGAAGATCAAACAAAGGCAAATAAAGAAAGATATTTATCTTAAAACAAATATTTACTTATAAACAAACTCTTATCATACATTTGCTTTTTAAGCTTAACCAAACACGCCCTTAGTCTCATTAATATGCATCTTCAAATAGGACTTGTGCAATCTTCCGCTGTCTTTACTCTTCTCCTCTTCCGGCCAGTGTTTTCCGGCGGGTCGGATTTTCCGGCATCCAATGGAAAATTCAAAATCGCTTTGCATCCTCTCATCTTGAAGGCTGCACAGTCATAAGCTCTAGCTGCATCAACATCAGTGTCATAAGTCCCCAGCCATACCCGAGACCCCTTCCTGGTCGGGTCCCGAATCTCCGCCGAGTACTTCCCCCATGGCCTTCGCCGGACCCCTCTGTAATGCCTTCCAGCTTCAATACCCTGCCCGAGAAAAAATCTTGTTTCTTCCGGGTTGGTTTTAACTTGTTCCGCCGGAGGAGGAGGAGTGCAAGTGCTGGAAGCTGAATCTTGAGTACCCATCGAGGAATTCTCGATGATTTGAGGCTTCATTTCGATTTCAAAGAAATCAGGCTCGATTTTAAAGAAGGTGGGGAAGGTTGAGTCGGGTAGTTTTGAATCCAAAATGGATGAGCTTGAGTCCGACCCGGACGTGGGGGAGTCTAATTTTCCGGGACCGAAAAATTGATCAGTGTTGAATTCATCGAATAAACAAAGATTAAGGCTTTGAAGAAATGACTCTGTGGAAGTGAAGTCTTCAAGAAGGTGTTGGCGAATGAGTTCCAACGTTAGCGATTCATCTGGTTCTGATTTTGTCATTACAACATAGGTAGCATCAAACTTTTAAAACGTTCTGAAAATCGAAACTCTTTGGAAACTCTCGAAGAACACGTTCGAAGAGAAAGGGAGCTACTTGAGATTTTCAGGAGTTAAGAGTGCTTACTAACATTTTTGAAGAATGAGAGTGAAGAGCTTAAGGCATATTCATATGCATATTTATATGGGTTGGGGTGGGGTGGGGTGGGGTGGGGTGGGGTGGTTTTAATACTGACTATTGTAGCTGGAGACAGAAAAATACGTTGGATCATAATGTTAATTAATGAGTCATTGGAGTTAGCTTATCTTAAGAATTGTGGGGTGGGGTGGGGTGGAGTGGGTGCAACTTGATAAATGTCATTATGTGCAACTGGACTTGGCCATTTCTCGTGTTGTTAACACTTACGATGCAGGTACATGCAATAGGTACTTGGAGGGGTCGATTCCCTTCTCAAGTTGATGTATGGGTCCGGTGGCTTTTTCAGTTTCTTTCGTATTGTTAAATTTATGGCTAAAAGGGGGTGTGTAGGGGGTAAGTGTGGGTTTTTGATGAATATTTTGAGATAAATTTGCTAAGTTTTACTCTAGAACATGGTTAGGTTGCCTTTGAATTCAGTTATTATTTATGATATCAGATCTATCATTATTTTGGAAATTTCAACCCTAAAAGTCTTTGAAGGGAAAGAAAAACTACAGGGTTTATATCATAGATTTGACTTTTCGTAAACTGTAATAAAGTTTTCATGAAATTTATTTGGTCAAAGAATGTGATATACTAGTTGAGATTTGTATCACGTATCAAAAAAAGAAAAGAAATTGTCCCCTTGCCTCCGCCACCGATCGTCCACTCCTTTTCTGTGCTCACACGTGTGCTCTTTTGCAGAAATAAGATTGAAATCTATATAATATGATAGTTGTCGATTATGTTTATTTGAGAATTCGATTGAACATTTTTTTCTCTTTTTCTTCCATTGACTCTCTGCCAAATGAACGACTCCAATATTCAAATGCAGGTGTCTGGGTGAACTGTATGGATTTATGACGAACAAATTGTGGTGTACCCATCCGTACGATACTTGCAATGCATGGACCAACCCTCCTGAATATAGCTAGCTAGCAGCGGATAAGGAAGGGACACACATGATGACATTTTAATGGTCCTGCATTCAATGAATGGAAAAGTAGTTCAATTCCACTAGCGCTGAATTCCAATCTGAAATCGAATACTGTGGGCGTGTTCAGTTACTTGTGAATTTACCAGCGAGATCTTATTATATTTTTAAATGCAAAATTCTAGAAGGTTACACGTCTCAGTCTTGTTGTTACCGATATCTTGCTCGACTCTATAGTCATAATTACGTTTCTTCGATGGACCAAATTTTGTGTAAGAAGTTATTTGGCCAGGTCAATTTGACTTGAGTCAACACATGGAATTGCTACGAAAGATTGCATTCAACCGAGCCGAGAACAAATATTTTACTAAGCAATTGCGCTCATAAAAATCTAGACGAAAGGAGTTAGATATGTGAAATTATGAGGGTTGCATAGTTTAAACTTCATGAAGCACTTATAAACTATCCCCGAAATGCGTTAGAGACGCTTTGTTGCTTGTTTTTCAATGGGAATTGTGAAAGAATTCAGCAAGAGAATCTCTCGAGTGGAAGAAGGGAAGCTCGAATAGAAGTAGAGGCTTGGGAGATTGGCCACAAGTGGAAGAATTCCTACGGCAACAAGGTTTCGGAGTGCTCCCAACTTGCTTCGACAATCAGCACTCCCTTGGCAATAATTGTTATTGTAAAGAGTAAATGTAAAATAAAGAAATACGGGACTGATTCTACTTATTTTAGTTTCTTATGCACGAAATTCTTTTAAATTATGAATTTTAATTAATTAAATGAATTGTGGTACCTTCTAGCAATAAATATCTGTAGATTAAAATTTTAAGATATGCATGAGGTGACATAGATTTAAATTGGACGCTTTGTTTTTAGTGGCTGCAACATTTGTTATAGTATAGTTAGTTGTGTGCAGCCATGGCCCAATTAATCGGATTTTTACAAAAAGAAAATATTAACTTTTTGTGTGTGTGCCACTTAATTAAATTGAGTTCAAGATGCAAAATGTTTGTTAGTTATCTTTCCTATTCTAGTCCAGTTCAATATTTTCATCAATCTAGAACATGTTTCATTGGGTTTTTAAGCTGGTCGTATTAATTTATAGTAAAAAATCCAATCAAACATGTTGCTTAAATTGAAAAATAAATTACTATTTTTAAGCTCAAATTGAAATAAATTATAAGCAGAGTCCACGTGACTTATCTTAAAAATAAGTAGAGTTGGTAAAGGGGAATTACCAATTTACCCTCCACTTCATCAACATTTACCAGTGTTGTAAATAGCATGCCTAGGCATCGCCTAGGAGCGATGCGTGGCAAAAATGCCACGCCTAGGGTGGGTATGAGCGCTAATTAAGCGATCAACGGCAACATTGACTAGTTAACGCACCTCGATACACATATTAATAATAATTATTATAATTATTATTATTATTTCCAATTATTAAACGGGATAATTATAAAATTTTCAACTTTTTTAACTTTTTGAAAATGCGAAAATTTGTTTCACTGCCCTAAAAAATTTACATCTTTGATTAATACCCTTCAAACTAAATGAAATTATAATTATGTGCCAAACTTCAAAATATAGAAAAACCCAAATCAAAAGGAGGAAGCCCCTGAATTAGAAAACTCTAAGCAACCATTCGTTCTCGATTTAGAATGCGATCCAATGTTCTTGCAAGGAGAAAAATCACCCACCATGTGAAGGAGCTACTTGAACCAACAAAGACAAAGACTCCGAGATTGTGCCTGGGGCAGGGGTTTAGGCCAAGCAATTGAAGCTTGCTAATGGGTAATATAAGATCGAGGCCACATGTAGAAAGCGAGTTTGAAAGGTCCATCATTTCTCCTTTCTATCTTTTCTTATAGAATTGAAATATCCGTACTCTTTGACCTCTAGTGGAGGCACAATAGAAGTGTTCTGGTTATTTTTTACAGGTAGATTGAGATGAAAATGAAGTACAATGTGGATATATTTTCTATTGTTTTGAACTTGATTATGGGTTTTAAAGAGAACCGCGAAGGTTTGTTTTTAGGATCAATTTTCAGTTTTCTATTGTATATATGTTGATATATATTCTATGGAGTTTTTATCCTTTTTTTTTTTTGTTAATTTAATCGTTGTATGATGTTGAATTTCAGACAATTGGAGTGTGAAGGCCAAGGAGAAAGACTACTGGTACTGAACGCATGAAGTACCTCCGCCATGTTCCTCGTAGATTCAAGACCAACTTAAGAGAAGGTATAATCTAGTTAATTTAAGTTTTTTTTAATGTTATAGTTCATTATCGATTTCTTTTGGAATTAATTTGAAAAATTGATGGTTGGTTTAGGCACTCAAGCTACACCCAAGAAGAAAGGGAGCAGCGCTTCTGGTTGAGGTTATATCAGGATTCACTATTGGAGGACACTGTTTAATTGGCCTTTTTATTGCTATTTTAAAGCATTAAGGGAACAATTGAATTTCGCAGAACAATATTTGAAGCTTCTATGTCTTTTGAATTCTTAATTGATGTTAATTTTGTTTGGATGCTTGAGTCTGCTTTTTAACATGGATAGACAAGAGTCCATCGTTAGTTTGAATGCTCAAATTAATTGTCACTTTTTGGAGTATTTGTCATTTTTTTTAAAAAAAATTTGTTCTTTTTGGAACGTAACGAGTTGAATATGGAATCTTTTTCGTTGAGGATGTAGCTCTACAGTTTGACAATTACATTTCTTAATGGTTCATTGACATAAGAGAATCAAGAAGTTTGATCCTACAAAGAAATTTGTCACTTTTTTGAATTTTTATCACTTCCAACTAATTGATAATTATGTTCCTAAAAATGAAGTTATGTTTTATTTTTAGTTAATAGAAATGAAACATAATAACAAATGGACGACATGCAAAAGAAAATCAACAATCCCTTTGATCTGTTTTAAGGTTTTGATTGATGTTAAATATTATTTCACTTTCTAGGAAATTTGTCAGTTTTTGTAGTGTTTTTCATTTTTACTTTTTTTAATTTTCGTCACTTTTTAAATTTTCGTCACTTTGTTAAACTAATTTCAATGTTTTTTAAACGAATAACACATATCCACATCTACAACTAATAAAAGAGCCAAAAGAAAAGAAAAATAGTTTCGTATCAGTCTTTCGCACCCTTAACTTCAACTGCCCCAACTTTTTTCTTAATTTTAGAAAAACCCCAGACATTTATCGTCGGGTTCATTTGAGTCCACCAAATCATTAAACCATAAGCTTTGCGCAACCCAAACTTGTGTGGGGAGAGAACGGTGACAATGGCGGCACCTCGAAGATACCTTCCATATCTCCAGAGCCCCAAACGCCTGTCCAACTTGACGGCGTTAAAGGCACGGCGGCAGCCGGTAATTCGTGCACCTCCTCCCTCTTCACCTTCTTTTCTCTCTCTTCACTCCCAATTTCTCTTACCCTTTTCCCGCAAGCCTTCACCGGATCATCGTTTTCCGACAAGGGGTTAGATATTTCAATTTCAAGTGGAAAATTCAGTACAGCCTTGCTGCCTCTCAGCTTAAACGCCGCCCTGTCGTAAGCCTTCGCCGCCTCCACCGCTGTGTCGAAAGTCCCTAGCCAAATCCGTGTCCCTTTTCTATTGGGGTCACGAATCTCAGCCGCGAACTTCCCCCACGGCCGTTTCCTAACACCCCGGTAATGCTTCTGGTCATCGTAATCTTCAGCTTTCCGGTCACAAACAGTACTATTTCTAACGTTTTCACTCTCAAAGTACTCAACTTTCTTGATTACTTTTGGGATAGCAATGTTGAGTGAAGGTTTTCTTTCACTAAAACTAGTTGGTTTTACAGGGTTTGGCTTTGTTTCACTTGAAGAGTTTTCTTGTGTGAAATTAGAATCATCAAGAAGGTGTTGGCGTATGAATTCAAGAGTAGACGCCATTCTAGACTTGAGTTGAACTTGACTGCAATTAATGAAAGAATTAAGACGGAATATTTGAGTGGAAACAAAGGAGTGAGGGGGAATGATTTATAAAGGGGTGAAAAATAATTTGGACATGGAGATAGAACAGGACTAGGAGGTTTCATGGAGTGTTCTGAGGTGGAGAGAAGAAGCATCGCGGGTGAGGTTGATTGGATTTGGCATTTTATCACTTCTGAGGATGCACGGTAGTGGGTTCTTACTTTGTTGACTTTCCACCAACAGCCCGTTTCCAAGTCACTTCCATGAATTGGCGTTGACGCAAGTCGACTCGACACTCACAAAGCGTCACTAGTTGTTTTCTTATCACTTTGATCGTAGATTAGGGGTGTAATTTGAGCAAGACCGTACAACACAGTATGTTGAATCCAATTTTAAATGTGTCTTAAAACTTTTAAATGAAATCGTTAAGCACGCAAGATCGGTAGTTTAAAAAAGGACAATGCTACGTGTCCACTTTAATAATATTATTAAACGTGCATTGTTAAGAAAGAATTTTCTAACCATTATATTATAAGATGTGAAACGTGACATACATACTTAAATTGTGTTGAAATCTCAAAAACGTGATAGAGTTGAGTTATAAACAAATACAATTAATTATTATATTTACCCATTGAGTTAATATTCTTTTGAGTTTAATATTACAAAAAATAAAAAAAAGTGGCCATTCAAAATTTATAATTAGCAAGTCATTCGACTCTACCCATGTTCAGCAACTATTATTTTAAAACTATTCAATTAGAACTCATTTTCAACCACACATTTACATAATAATAAAATTTTTTGCGTGTAAATTCAAAATTTTTCTATACTTTTTAATATACATTATCCAAAAAACACTATTTAAAACCTCATTTTCTCAAGATAACGGGGTTAAATCTTGGTAGATAGATAGTATGTCGTCAAAAACAAATACCACTCACTTCATAAATGGAATATCATACTCAAGATAAAGGTATCATGGTTAAAGAGACAATTGAACATCGCGTTAAATTAATCAACGCACAATTTCGATTATTAATTTTCCGTCACAAATCTGAATTAATCAAATACTCCAACACCCAGATTTTATATACGTGTGTTATGAATATTATCTTGATGGCACGTGAGAAGAGCATTGGACCACGCTCGACTTTTGTGTCTCAAGAGTAGTTTTCAAGGATTTGTAGTCAATAAGTTACGCAACGACTTGACTGGCAACTGTCTAGCATCAACTTGCAAGGGGTCAATTTCATCCGCCAACTTGGGTTTGGCCCATATTCTATTGATGGCCCAATTTGTCGGGTCGGGGGATGAATCTGAACCATTTTAGATTTTTTTTTTTTTTTTTATATATTATGCTATGTGTAATTGTTTAGTGATTTATTATCAATTATTTGACAATAATTACCAAAGAAAGCTGCTTGCTGTCTGTCTTTGATAGCAAGAAAAATTAGCTGACATAAATGGATAATTAGGTGATTAACTCTCTTACAGAGTCAACTTTCTCCATCGCTGAAGGCACGGTGTCCTTTAGATAAAACTATTCCGTCGGCAGAAAGATTATTAGTAATTTTTCAAATAAAAGTAACTTTTCATTGAATTAACATTATTAAAGGACAGTTATCATCTCTATCGGAAAGTACCAATTAAGAATTTGTCGATGCCGACATTGAAAATATCTAGCAGTAATTTTCACCCAAACACATGGAACTGTAAAAATATTAAAATACACATTCAATTCAACCTTTAAATTATCAAATTATTTAATAATTGAATAAAATTGATTTAATAATATACATTTGATCCACATGAGAAGATATCATAATTGTGTATTGTGGTAGTGAGATAAAAAGTCCCCCTACCTTGGATGATATTGTAAAATAATAAGATAAATATTGATGATTATGTAGTCTTATCATTATGTATAGAAAGTCTTATCTTGTTTAGAGAGTTTATTTTATTCCAATTATTATTATTATTATTATTTGGGAATGAAAACTTTATTCAATCACCCCTCACTTATGATGGATGAATATCGTGGCAACAAATCCAACATAACAACATAAAAGGCAAAAAGTCATAAAGGCCATAATCAAGCAAGTAAAAACAAACAAATCAACTTCACCACTGTTGCCTAATGTTGGGAAAACCAAACTTATCCATACGAATAATACCTTTTAACAAATTTGGTATTTGGTCTAAGTGCATGTACCTCATCGTGAGACCATCCGCCCCTATAAATATGGGTCTTGATTATTAATAAAATACACGCTTAAATTTTGACTTATTTATTTGTTCACTTTTTCTCTCTAATTTGTAACAAGTTATCAATGCGAACGTTTTTTATCTAATTATTATTTTTTCTTAGAATTTTCTTATTAATGATCGATACTCTTTGCACCAAAGTTTGTACCCAATTTCACATTGTGATATTTTTAATATTACAAGTCTCTGCACCCAAATTTTCAATTATGCACTCAATTAGAATATTCTATGTCTTGCGCTCAATTTTGAAAATCCTCTATGTCGGCCATTTACTTGAATATTATGACGGAATTTGCATGCATGTCTTGTAACATAATAATTTATTTCTTCAATTAAAATTTAGTTGCATGGAGTTTGTGTAGAAAAAATAATTTGTGTTAGGTTTCTAGTGTTGGCAATTCTGTGGACAAAATGACTAATTTGTAATGTGTTGTAAAAATCAAGGACCTATTGTTCAATTTGTCTAAATTAGATTATGAGTTCTAGGGTTCGAACATGAAAAAAGGAAAATCACAGCACTACATTTTCGCTAGTCTATCGTTTGGACACTGCTCGAGCGACAAAACAAAGAGGACATCGCTCGCCTGTCGTCGAGGTTTAGGTCGAGCGATAGGTTTATACGAAAAACCCTAATTTGCGTTCCTAAACAGATTTTTCCTGCTCATTCAACCCAATTACCCTCTCCTATAAATATTAAAGTCATTGGACGAAATTTTAAGGTGGTTTTCATTATTTTCATTGCCTCATCCTATTCTCTAAAGATACAATAATATATTCTTTCATTGTGATTCATCATTTCTCCTTGAGATCATATAACCACCTATTTGGAAAAAATATCAAACACATTAAACTGAAACACCACCTACTTCCTATTGGTTATATGAAGGTACTTACTCTGTTGAACTTTAGAGGTTGTTGGAAGTTGAGAGATGTTGGATTACAAGCGTAGAAAAAGCAAAAAGTTTTGGAGCAGGTTCTTGTAATTCCGCTGGGAAAAGAAAATTGTAGAAGATCTTGGAGCAGGCCTTGGCAGGAAATAGATCGGGAAGTCTAGTGGAGTTGGTTAGATAGCATTTAACTGTCACGCACTCCGTATTGTCTGTAGTGGAGGTAACTAGTTTGGTCCCGAAATTTTTACCCATTTTGGGTTTCTCCGTTATCATTTTGGTATTCGTTATTTATTACTTTCTTTATTATTGTGATATTCAAACTTACGTAAATTAACTTGTTTGATTAACCATCTAGAAACAATTAAAAATGACTTGTTCATTTTGATTGATTAATTCTGCACGTATGGCCAAAACTAAAAACGGATAATTAATAATCAGTCGGCAACTTAGTAGCCGTTAATTTTATAATTCGTAACTTTCAAGTGGTATCCAGAGCGACACCCGTGATTTTTCAAATTGTAAGTAAGTGTTGGGACTTGGGATGCATATTCCATTGAATTTATTTGCATCTCATTATGCAAGTCAACGGTTAACATTAATGCTTTATAGTAGTTTTAATTAAACATTATCTTGTGATTATGTGATATAATTAATGATGTAAATTATTGTCCTATCACAAAGTGTCTAAATATTTTTTTAATATTCATTTATAAACTTTAAATTGATCATGTTGTTGCTCCTGAAGAAGCACAACTCTTCAGCTAATTAATATTCTGCTATTTTGTTTTTAAATAATGGTTTGTTGGTGCTCTTAGCACAACATTGTTAATATTCTACAAGAATATTATTTACTCTAGAAAAACATGATATTATAATTTCAATATTTCAGAACAATATTGATCGATTTTTGGATAAAAGCACGATTTATAATTTTCAATATTCTATAAAAATATTGATATATTGCTCTTAAAGAAGCAAATATATGGCTTCTAAAGAACTAATGTTTTGAAATAATAGTTCGTTGTTGTCCCTTGAGTTGCACAACATTATAATTAATATTCCAAAATAATATATTTACTCCTGAAGAGCATGAATTATAATTTTCAATATTTCATAAAAATATTGACATATTACTCCTAAAAAGGTAATAATAAAATGTAACGTACTTTAGCATATTATCATTCTCATTAATATTCTAATTAAATTTTACTTTCTCTCGAAAATCATAATAATATAAATCTATCATAAATTATATTTTTATTCCCGAATAGTAAATATTTACATAATGGGTAATTAGCATATAACGTTCTCATCTTTCATTGTTATTGTGAAAAACGACCATACATTTTATTTTTTTTTTGGTATTTTCACCCTTATTTCCACATTTCATTGTGCAAGAGGTCATTTTCATCAATTTTCTCAATTAAAAATTATGAAATGACGAAAATAACATTTTCTTTAAATAAAACAAAAGGAAAAAGAAAAATTAATTGCAATCATAGTCCCAATTTTTTTTTGAAAAGCACGAATGAGTCTTAAATAAATTATTAAAAGTGTAATTAGTACATAATGTCATCATCTTTCACATTTATTGCGAAAAACATTCATACCTTTAATTTTTTTGACAGTTTTCACCCCTAATTACATATTTGATTGTGCAAACCATCATTTTCATCCATTTTCATTCAGTTTCTCAATAAAGAATTGTGAAATAATGAATATATCCTCATATTTAAATAAAAAAATATATTTTTTAATTTCTAATTTTTTAATAATTTATCCGGGACTCGTTTGCACCATTTTTAAAAAAATTGGGACTAT